TGCACCAACGTTAGCAGGATCAGGGACTAAATATGCAAATTAAAATAAAAATGCCATTCCACTGCACAGCTGCCTCCTTTCTCATTTGCCATCCAAGTCCTTAGTCTGTGCTTTTGCATTTCCCTGCGAGTGTTAATGGAATCACTGGCATGTTTGTAACTCAAACCTGAGTGACTTCAGAGCTTCTTAATTCCTTTTTAAGCCTAACCTTGAACAGAATGTGTTCCTTCTGGGCTCCATAATGGCATCAGCTAATGCATGGGAAATATTAAATCCTGAATTGGGGTCTGTGGCAGTAAAAAGAGAATCAGATTTTAAAACTGGTTGTTTTACTGGACTTTATTTGCTAGTTTAAAGTTAGGCAGCCAGGACCGATATTTCAAAAGCAATCTTTAAAATCACCCTTAGAGTTGCATGCAGCCAAATGTTCTGAGTGTCCAGTTTTCTGTGCCTGCAAATCTTGGTTTTTCACATGCCAAGCACTCATCTTAGAAACTGGGTAGAGGTCTGATTTGGATGAGCTACAGCTGTCCCTAAGGCAAACAGGTATTTTTATATATAGAGACAGGTGGACATGCAAAATTAGTGTAGAGGTAGCGTTTTCTGAAAAATTTGCCTTTAATATTTCTCTATGGATCTGGAAACGTAACAAACTGGAGGGAAAAATTCTGAAAACATCTGTACCTTCAAAATCCCAGAGGATATTTCTGGATACATACCTGCTTGCATATGGCATATGTTCTGATGTCTTTCAAGAATACAAGGGCAGCCAGTACACTCTCAAAGCAAATTAGAAAAATCTATCTAACACAGGTTTGCCAGCATTTGCAGATCTATCATTCTTAGGCATGAAATCTCTGGAAAAATTGCTACAGACCAAGACTTTGATGGATTGGGACTAGATGCCCTTCCAATGAAATCAAAGAACTCAGGCATAATTGTTTTAACTGTTGGAAGCTGATTTGGCTTTTCTGGCAAATGATGCTTGTGAGATGCTAGCATACAAATAAATTGTTTGGTGTTCAGGATAAAAATAGTCCTCAGAGCCCTTGCTCTAAACCCCATATATGCTCTGGCTGAAATTCAGAACTGCAGCCTGTGAGTTAAACTCTCCTTGTCCTTAAAGTGTTAAAACACTGTTAAGCTTTCCGGAGAATTTGGAACTATAACTGTGCAGCGTACATTTAAAGGTAATTGGCAGAGAAGTGTTACTTTAGGCTTGCAAACTGTCTTTTCACTTCTGGAGTCTGGGCTTATTCCAGCTTAATCCAACTACAAATTGTCGTATTGAAATGTTTGAGGGTGCATTTAAATGTATTTTTTTCCTTTGGAAGAATATATTTACATGGTGATTTACATTCTTGTTTACCAATGGTGGGTTTTTAAAGTTGTGGCCATGTTTGTGGGTTTATATACTGGATACAATCTTTCTGAAGGGCCACCAGAAGCAAAACAACACTCGCAAGGAGGAGAAGGAAAACTCACATGGAAAACCGAACCAACTCAATGGTCCAAGTGGGAGTTAAGCATCGAGTCAAAACTCAAAAATAAAGTATTTGGTTTGTTTTTATTTCACATCTTTGAAAGACCTACAACAGAGTTGCTTCTTCCCTACATGGTGTAAATCATTATCTCTATATAACTTGCTCAAAGACAGTTGTGTTGGACTGCTTACAAGATGATAAACTACTTCACAGATAGGTTTACATCAAAATAATTTAGGCCTCTCCTGCCAGAACAGTGACTCAGCCTAATGTGCTAGTTTATAGGCCACGCTGGTTTTGAAAATTTGCAGTTCAGGTCCTGGCAAAAGAGATCAGGTCAATATTTTGTTCTCCACATGGAGCATCAAGTGTCAGGAGCTTGGGCTGAACTGGCCCATGTTCTTGAAGTGGAGGCACTATTGTACAGTCCATTAAACCATCACTGGCTCTAACAGAGAAATGAATCTGGGCTGATGATTGACACTCTGGCTGCATTCAGTAGTAGATAAGCCCCTTCACAAATGACAAAAGATTTCTAATACTTTGAGCTGTGGGATCTAGTAGAGAATGTCACCAGTGCCACATTGCAAGCTGCCTGTTGGTAAGTGGAAGCCACCATCACTCCAGGAAATGTGACAAAAGTGACAATTTGTGACCTTACATCTTATGCTAGGGCTTTTATCAGAATAGTACAGAAACATCCTGCCTCTTTAGGAAGAATTAATCTGAATGCACATTTGATAGGTTTGGCTTGGATACACTGCAAACTTCAAAATCTGCTTGGCAAGATTATATGCGGGCTGGGCTGCATGGCATCATAGTTCCAGGGGAGAGAGACCTCTGATGTGAAACTGAAAAGGTTGCTCGCTAGTGAGGGGGCAGAAGTGCATTTAAGTAATGTAGAGGCATAGCAGTGCAGTTCCACACTTGGGGCAGCCACGAGACACCTAGGCCAGGGCTGGCTGCTGTGGTGCCAGTTGCATCAGTGCAATCTGTCAATGCTGTTTTAGCTCCTCCAGCGCCCCACAAAAGCAGCACCTGGGCTGCTGCCCTAGTCCCATCCCTTGCCACTCTCCAACTTTAGTAATGCTACTGAAGTAACCCAGCTGGTCCCCATATTTTGTTACAGACAACTGAAATGCCCTCATGGGGTGATGGTACAAAAGACATTTTTTGTAATCACTTTTATGATCATAACAATCCTGCTGGCCACTGTGACACATGAGTATGAATGTGGGTTCATATGTTACTCTTTATTTTATTTAGCTAGATTCCAATAATCTGCCTTTACCATGGTATCTGGTCTACTGTATCTTTGGCATGCTGACCTCCGTAACGAGAGAGAGAGGGGTGCAGTTCTTGAGTGTTTGACTGAAAGAAGTGGAAAAAGGGATATGTTTCTCTCTGCTTTGCTTTTTTAAATCCACTGCTTGTTTAAGCCGAGTATCACCTTGCATGTTAGGTTGTTGAACCTGACTGCCAACGTGGGGATCTGTCAATACCTGCTTTATAACAGGATATCTGTAGGATTTTCTTCCTTTGTGTCTGATCTGGGTAACAAAGAGCCCAAAACTTCATGTTGTATTTAATGCCAACTGAAAAAAACAGGACAGAGCCAAGCAGTACATACTCGAGGACACTCTAGGTAGTATAAGGAAAAGGAAGGAGAGAAATGATGAAAGAAATAATCTAACTTCAGTCACTAGTTCATTGAAGGAATCCATTAAATTCCAATGCTTGTTTGCTGATTTCAGCCAAATTAAAACATTGCAACATCAGTCTATATTTCAGCTACTAACAATCCATTTCTTTGTGCCATCTGCTTCACTAATGGGATACATACAAATATTTGCCTGCAGAAATTCACTTGTGCTTTTGAGGCTCCTGGGCATACAGCAGGTGCTCTAAATGTTCTCTCTGAAAAATGCACTAAATTTGTTTTTTTCCCTTATTTGACCAATCTCTTTCTATCAGACCCAGCTAGCAGAAACTGTGGAATGTCTTAAATAACACAAGTACAAAATTACATGACTGTGTAAGTAGGAGGGTTATTTTAGCCATTTTATTTCAGAAAGTAAAATAGAATTTAAAACTATGTGAGAAAACACTGAATTTAACAGTTGTCTATTGCTATCCACTAGAAAAATTTGTTAAGCATTTCAGTAAGTTCCTTTTTCAAGTGCCTCTGCAAATTTACTTCTTCCAGAAGGCCTAGATATCCCTGTCCTCCTGTTCCTGTCTGCCACCTTGATAGAGGTGCTAACTAAAAAACCTGAAGAAACTTAAACAAGAATTGGAAAATTAACAACCAATATGCTTGACTCCTGATTCACACAACTTTTCCAATCTCCTATCTCCTTTTCTTTGTCTGTTTGTTGTCTATTCAGTGCAACCATTAGTAATGTTGGCTAGTACTTACTCACATAAATAACGTCAGTTAGCAATCAAAGGCAAGATAGTATAATTGAGTGCTCAGATCAATCTCCATGAGGTAGAAGATCAAGGCTAACTATCCAATGCCTACCATCCATTTTGACATCTATTAAAACCAACATTTTACAATTTCAGAGTAGATTGAATAACAGTATGTATTCAATAACAGTATGCAATTTAATTTTAGGTTAACAGGTTTTACAGAACATGTATGCCATGTGGCACAAATAACTACAAACAGACCACCAGACAAAAGAAAAAGATCCTTCTCTACTTTGAGATGAGTTTAAAAGTTCAGGCCCATCAGTAAAATGAATAATATTCATTTATGTGAGTACTTCTGTGGGACAAAGTTTGACACTTTCTTTGGTCTGTGGTTTTGTAAACATTAGAATAAGGATATGCTCTCTGTTGGCATCAAGGAGTTACAAGGGATTAATATGTAAATCCACAAGAATTCCTTTGCCACTTGTTACTTTCCATTTGCTGTAAAGTGTCACCAGAACTGAGTTCTGACTGATGATAAAATGTTTATCCAAAGTTTTGTGCTGAATATCATTTTGGGATTTGACCCTTGAAGTTGTTTGTTTTCAAGGACAAGGTACAGAGAGAGTTCTTAGGGGATGACTTCAGATTTTGTAAACCAAGTAATAAACTGAGATAATATAATTGTCACAATGGATTTGCATAATATTATGCTGATCAAAGACTTCCATCATTTTTAGTATGACTAATGAAGGGGAAAGCAGTGGAAAAGGGAATGTATTTACATACTTAGGATTTTGGGGAATTTAGCCATGGAGCAATCATTTGACAAAAGTGTAAGGGGCTGCATTTCACAAAGGTGAATGTAAAATGGGTCAGTAAAGTCAGGGATGAATCAAGCAAACAGTCCATTAGATACTGTTATCGGGTTGGCAGGGTATCTTCTGTTCCTCTGGTTCTCGCCTGCCACGACTTAGATCTTATGAGGGCAGGAAAGAGATTGACGAGTTGTTAATCGATACCTGCCAAATGATTACTCCTGACCCGTTACGTAATTTTAAGTACTTTATTTATTCTTCTCTTCTTTCTTTTATTGAGGACCGGATGGGAGGCAGCAGCTCATCCAAGCTGTTCCCAGGATCACCCCTGGGCTCAAAAGAGAATCCCTGGCGGCAAAATCCTCAAGGTAAGTGCTGGCCAGTGTTTTGCAGGATAACAGCTGTGCCCATAATCAGCCCACCTGGTGGCTTCTGCTCTACGCCAGCTACTCTTATGGAGGGTGTTCCCATCTGCCTTTCTTAGTACGGGTCACTCACAGTATTCCCCCTGCTGTCCCAATCATTTTCCACTCAAAATAATGAGGAGGAAAAAAGAAAAAAAGATAAAAAGGTTCTCTCTTTGCCCATGACTCAGCTTCCTGCCACTAGTTAACTCATTAGTGGCTTGTTACGGGCGCCACCCAGTCTCTCCTTCCGCGCTCTGTGCCAGCATGACTCAGGGAATCTTCCCGTCATTAACATTGAGGTCGCGGAACTTGGACTCGGCTTCCCTCTCTCCTGAAGCTCTGGGGTGATGGTCAGCGTTCCTTCCGGGGTCTCGTCTTGTGACCCCCCTTTCACTTTAGTGCCACCTAGCTGTGTCCTAGCATGGAACTGCGGCTCATCCCAGCGCAGAGGCTTGGCTTTTTCCCGGATCACTGCAACTCCTGTAGGTTCGTGGTAAGTAGTGAGCAAGGTTGCTGGCCCCCAAACTCCATGGTCCCTTGGTCTCTGCGCTTGACTTGTGTCTCGGATCCCTCCACCAGATCCTCTCTCTCGGGAGTCTCAAGCAGCTCCTCTCCTTTTCGTGGTGCCCGAAGGCATTTTCATTAGGACTTCCCCTTTCTTTTATTCTTGGAGATTGTTTCCAATTGGCTGCCCGAAGAGAGGTGGGGAGTCTTCCCCCCAGCTGTCGGGAATTTTCCCCAAGTAACAGGGTTCCTAACAGGGACCCTGTTACAGACACTTTAGACAGGAGATTCTTTTGAAGAGCTGGTACAAAATCGGAGTCAAAACCTATGGGATTCTCACATCCTCCCAAAATTGTTTGAGGTTCAGTGGGGTGGAGCTTGCTCAGGATCCTAACAAATCAGGATATAAGGCAGCCTTTGGGTTGTAAGGATTAGAAGACAATATGCAAGGAGTGATATACAGGAATTCTCTAGTGGACTTCACAGAGCCACAAGTAGGGACAGGCAAATTATTTTGGGTGTGTAACAAAATATGCCAAGCAAGAATTTGGCCCGTAAGACTTACCAAGCTACCAGCGATGATGTAAACTGCATCACCCATATCAGAGAAGAAGCACAAGCCACAAGGAGTCAAAAGGTATATGTCTTTATCAAACCACAGTTTGGGTTTGCTAGAATAGATTAGGGAACTTTCCCCAGCAATTTAAACCCATTGTTGGTGGCAACAGTTGATGACAATAGCCCTTCCTCCTCTTTTTCCTTGCCCATTAACTAAAGAGAAACAATTGTTATGCATTAATGGGGACAAAAAAGCTCTCTCCTAGTGATCATTATTAAGGCTTACATCTGCCTTCTTAGTCCTTTATGGTGACAGTCGAAACCGAATTCAGACTCTCCAGTTTCACAAACAGCTTGCTAAACTTTCAACAAAGAGAATCTCTGTTAGAACTATAGGGCATCTGAAACACATTTGAAAAACTCCTGATCATCCATTAGCAAGTAGTTTCTTGCACACACACACACACACACACACACACACACACCTATCAACACATTACAATTCTAATGTACCACAAAAGGGTATTTTAAAACTAATTTTATTAACACTTCATAAAAGGCTTTGTGGTATTTGGATGGAAGTTGTGATGGACAAAGAAAAGCCCCAACATTTCTGGGAGTAGAGGCATATGGATGAATCCATATTTCACAGCAGAAAATTCAGCTGTGATAAAATCATCATGAAACTCCATGGCAAATCTGGCTTTTTGCAGATGAGGTACCCATGAGTTTTGCAGTAAAGGGGCATGAAACACCCCAAGAAACAACCCATGGAATGAGTCCAAGCACACAAAGGAAAAACCTAACAAGGATTTAATAAAATAACATAATCTCAACAACTAAATGACTGAGGTGTTTCATAGCAGAATGTAATGCTAAAACCACCCTTCCACCGCCTCGAGAAAAACTGTGCACTTCAGTAATGATGAGAACTTGATGCAATGTATTTTCCAAAGCACCAAGAGCCAAGAATAATATAACATCACCAGGCAGACTTCAAAGCCCAGTTCCTCTACTCACTCTTCGCTCCTGTGCATCCCTCCACTGCCAAAGCACACATGGATTGGAGGGCTCTGCTCAGCAGCTGCTCAGTATGTTTGACAGATTTCCCAAAATTGTACAGCCCTTGTAAAAGAAGTTTCCAATAGAGGTTGCATTTTGACCATGCCATTTACAAGAATAAAAAACAAAAAAGAGGTGTTTGTTTATTGATTGAATAATAGATTTTGCACTATGGTTCCTGCAAAAATGCATCATTGCAGTTGCAAGGGGTACAACACCAGGACACGTTTACATGGGGCTCTAGCTAGTTTTGGTTGACAAAACTAATTACATTGGTAATTACTATTACTGTCCTGGAAGGAGAATAATTTTAGGAACCATTTACAGGGATTGACAAAGGACACTTACTAGTTCCCTCACTTGATGAACTCTTATAGGTTAAAGTAAGCAAATGCTTCACAGTTTTAAGAGAGATTATTTTACATGTAAAATTCACACCACAATTACCATGGGAATTTTTTAATAAACCTCTGGATATTGGGCAATAGAAATACATCAACTAACATGTATAGTTATCAGAGCAAGGACCATTTGAGGGCTCTGTCTAAATTAGTCCCTTTCAAATGATAGGGCAGGAAGGTTTTTATTTGGAGTATTAGGGTGAAATTCTGCTGTTACCTCTTTGTGGGATACTGCAGGTGGGGGCTTGGAGTGGAAGCTCTGGGTATGAGTTTGAATGGGATGCTGGCCTCTGCTGACAGCTTACCTCTTGCCTATTCTTTCAGTTTTCTGTGCAGCAGGTGAGAGTGCTGAGCTTAGTGTGAAGCAGGAGGCACAGGAAAAATCCTGAGAGTAGCCAGAAAGCTAGAAGAGTGTGGTTGGAGAATGGAAGAACCAGGGAGATAAAGCTGGAGATCACAGAGAAAAGGGCAGAGAGCAAAGGGAAAAGTTGGGTATTTGGCTAGAAGCCAGAGAGTAAGTATTGGTGCATAGGGAAAATAAAAAGGGGAAAGAAACTTATATGCTACCTGAGAGTGAGTGATTGCACCAAAGGGTAAGCCAAGAGAGAAGTACTGAGTACCTAACACCTAAAACTGGTGTTTTTAGAGCCAAGGGACTGGAAACCTAGCTCCAATGCTGTGTGTGCCTCAGTGTTTCGGCATGTGAGATTTATACAGTACTTACTTCTAGCACACAGGTCAATTCTGACTGTATGAAATGCAACCCTTCAGAACCATCCTGGCTACACGGGACAGCATGGCCAAGAAGAGCGTGGAGGCAAATTACAATGCTCTTTTAACAGCTGCCCAAAAGAAAAGAAGGCTCAGAATTTTGGAGTGAGATCACTACATGGAGCTGGGCAAAACACAGAGGTTTTGAATTGCAGAGGTTTAATGAAGCCAAAAACCCAAAGCAAATCTCAGTCAAACTCATCATGTTTCATCTGGTTTATTATTATTTATAATTTATGGAGCTATAGAAGTGTGCCTGGCACTGCATGGAACAGAGACGGGGGGGCAGGATTCCTGATCTAAGACCCTTACCGAACCTAATGACCCTTTCCTGCACCACTGGAGTCAACTGAATGGTTCATGAACTGTAGGCATTGTTTCAGGGGGCATAGGCTGAGGTCAGAGTCATAGCCAAATTCCAAACCAGGTGAGTTCCCCATAGTTTGGAGCTTTATAATCAAGCATTCACACATTACCCCCTCTCTCATTTCACATTGCCTACTAAGAGCTATCAGATATGATTGTGTTTCCTTTACCTTCAAGCCACAAAATATAGATCTGAATCTAAATATCAAAACACTCCAGGTTTTGGGGTAGGGTTGGAACACAGATTTTTTTCAGCTTAGCAGAAAGTAGCACTGAAACCTATCATACTCAATCCATATAGCCAACAGCACCCTATGGGCAGTGGTCCAGGATACTTGGCCATATCTCTACTAAGACACAAGGTCCAGCTAATCCATTGTGTTCCATAGCTAGCATCAAAGGTTCCATTACTAATTTGGATACTGTTGGCATCAGTGGTCAGGTTCCATGATCACAGCATTGTGGTAAGTTTCCTAGATCTGATTGAACTTGGCTGGGAGTTCTGCCCTTGGATATAAGTGTGCCTTACTCCATTTTCACAGGGGCTTCTTGCTCAGCCTTAGACATGTGCACTCTGGGCTGAATACAAATGATTGCAGCCAAAAGTCAAATTTGTTAAATAGAAGTTCACCAAAATAATCTTAAGTGAAAGTGAAATCCTGTAAATAACAGAAGCCACATGTCTGGAAGCAACCAACAGGGTACATGCAGTTCTGTACTCTGGAATTTTAACATCAGGACTGTCACGGGCTCTCCGCACAGCCTTCTGCCAGCCAGTTCCTTACTAGGTGTCTCAGTTTCCCACAGCTGTAAAATGGGGATAATGGCACTTGCTTCAACAGGGTGTACTATGCATGAATAAGTTAGGACTTCTAAAATGCTTTGAACATGAGAGCCCTGTATAGAGTGCTGAAGTGGTTTCAATTTCAAATGCAAACCATGAGAGGGATTAGTCCTTGCATGACAATTTATTTTGGCATTTTAAGAGGGGGAAAAAAGAAAAGAAAAACCCAGAACACTGAAAGCATTAAGTCTTGAAAATGGCTAGTGACTAAGTGCATTAGCTGCAGTACTGCCAGGAAAAAGCAGCTGGCTTCTGCTGTGAAGCCATATTATTGTAGACCTGGTTTTTCACAGCAAATACTGCTTAGAGTAAATACAGAGAAACACAGTTCAGCTGGTCAGTTAGTCGATAATTGCTATGTCACCCATGTTTAAGTTCTAGAGAGTTTGTCAACCTCAGTCGGAAGAGGAGTAGGCTGAAAGGAGATAAACTATACTACCCCGTCTTCCTACTGCTGTGACCACATCATGGCCATCTTTGTATTCCTTCATTTGGCTTCCCTACCTCTTCACGTTAACACTTAGTGTCTCCTCCTTGTCAGAACTTAGTAGTTAAGTGCCTCGGCACAGTGGAATTTTCTAGCACAATGAAGCTTTTCGGCACGGTGAAATTTCCGCTACGGTGGAGAACCCCGATGCAGAAAAGCTCCCGCCATCCCTATGTAAATACGCACACCATTATTGGTCGGTTCTAAATTATTCCTACGTGGCGACTCGCAT